AATAATTTTTTGTAATTTACCTCACACACATATATATATATATATATAATGTAATATAATGTTCGAATAAAGAAGAGGTACATGAATGAATGAACTGAGACCATATACCAACGAAAGAGAGATCTCAAAGTTAAAAAATGCTCAAAAGAAATAAAACGTGCTAAACTTAGAACAATTTTATGTTGGGGACCTTCTAGTAATTTTTATACGATGCATGTGAGTGATGACAAAACATGTTAAAAAGATTCGTGTTGATTTGTGGGAACGGTGTCTTTACTCTTAAAAGCAATACAATATTAATAGGTGACGTGATCATATAATAGAAAATACATGACGACCCTATAATTGAGAAAAAAAGCGACCCTAATAATTATTGGTCTAATATTAGCAATATCAAAATGAATGCAGAATTAAAAAAAAATTTGTAAAAATGGGAAAAAAGAGAGTAGAAAAAGAAATTGACATATCATATGATTTATTGCATTAAATATATAATAAAAACTTTATAATAGGGACCCATTATTAATTATTTGATATAAAAATACAGAATACATATTACCACCCTATCCAATAAAAGAGGGTGAATTTTGTTTGGTTTTAAATATTATCGGGTAGCGTCGACACCATAAGAAGAAATCCCAAAACGACAACCTTTTTTTCGTTCTCTATATGGAAGCTGTCGGTCGGAATATGCCCAACCAGTTTGTAAGCTTGAAGGAGACTGAGCTCTGCCTGGGCTTGCCCGGCGGCGGAGATCCGCCTCCTGACCTCACCCTTAAAGCTTCCGGCAAGAGGGGTTTCTCTCAAACTATTGATCTGAAGCTTAACATTCAGAGCAACGATGGCGGCGGAGATGTTCGTGTTGGAGTCGGTCTCAATGACGATATTAAGAACATTCCGACGAGCGTCCACGGTCCGAAGAGCCTCGGCTCCAAGGATCCGGCTAAGCCTCTTGTCAAGTAAATTTCTTCTTCCAAGACATAACTGAAGGTTAGGTTGAATGATGTTTCTCATGCATATTTGTTGGGTTTGTAGGGCACAAGCTGTGGGTTGGCCACCAGTGCGATCGTACAGGAAGAACGTCATGGCTCAGAAGAACACGAGTGGTGAAGGAACGGAGAACGCAAACGGTGGCGCTGCCGTTGCATTTGTGAAGGTTTGCATGGATGGAGCTCCATATCTTCGTAAGATAGACTTGAAAATGTACCAAAGCTACCGAGAGCTTTCTGATGCTTTGGCCAAGATGTTTAGCTCCTTCGCAATGGGTAAATATTCTGGTACTCAAGGAATGATAGATTTCATGAACGAAAGAAAGTTGATGGATCTTCTCAATAGCTCAGAGTTCGTTCCAACTTACGAAGATAAAGACGGTGATTGGATGCTCGTCGGGGACGTTCCATGGGAGTAAGTTTTGTTTAATTTTTCCATTTCTTTCCTAGTTGGGTTTCATTAACTGAACAACGATTTCTCTAATAGGATGTTTGTCGATTCATGCAAGCGTTTGAGAATCATGAAAGGTTCTGAAGCCATCGGGCTAGGTAATTCACGCTCCATTTTAAAACCATTCTAAAGAAAACAAAATCTTAACATTATTTTTCTGAAATTTTCAGCCCCAAGAGCTATGGAGAAATGCAAGAGGAGAAGCTAGAACAGAAGTGTTCGTGAAGATGGTTCCAGCTTGGAAACATGCATGTTGTTTTGTGTGTATTTTTCAAACTTTAATGTTTTTTTTTTATATAATTTAAATTATTAGTATATACAGAAAAAAAAAAAAAAAAACCCAAAATGAAATGCTGTTGGGGACAATGTTTGTAATGGATGAGACATGAAAAGCTGTAAACCTTCACCTACTGTCTGTCTGGTTGGGTTGTTTGTCATGTTTTATTATTGTTATTATCACTAATTAATTTTCCAAAGAAATGGGTTTTTTTTGCTTAATAATTACACCCATTTCTTTGTTTGGTTGTCAAATGGTATTTTATTCTATGAAATTGTATTATTTAGGGAAAAAGAAAATTCTTTTTTTATTTGCATTATTTTATACCTTAATTTATGGTATTTATGTACTCATTTTTTGTGGGTAAGGAGAGAAATAAAAGAGTATAAATGTTTAGGGACCCATTGAGAGGGAACAAGGGCATGTGCTAGCATGTTAATGGGGGCATTGATTAATGGAAATTTAATTTTATAATATAGTCTACGGTGGGAATAATCCTAATCAAATAATATGAAAATCATAAACTATGTCAGTTTATGCCATGACAATTTTACTTAATTTGTGGATCAATGTATAAAATTAATATTGTCATTTTGAATGTTATATAGTGTAGTTTGACAAACACGACTCTCCACAATGATATCATATTGTCCACTTTGAGCATTAGCTCTCATGGTTTTGCTTCATGGAGAGAGTATTCTTTGATTATAAACCCATGATCATTCCCTAAATTAGCTGACGTGGGACTTTCATATAAACTCATGATCATTCCCTAAATTAGCCGATGTGGGACTTTCATCATCCGACACATATATCAAATAACATTGATAACATAACATAGGTTCATGACATAGCATAATCATATCATAGCATGAACTATGATGTAACAAACCAGGCCCATAGAGAGCATGACTCATGAGTTGCTTGTGGTTGGAATGCCCATGAAAGAGCATCACTCACAAGTGAACGAGATTATTATGTAACGAACCATATTCAAGATTCAGAATCTAAATTCAACATCTTATGACCTTGCATTCCTCTACGATATTGTCATGTTACTTACTCATTGTTTTTAAGAGAGAATACTATCACCACATATCAACATAGGTTTTTCCAGCATGTTTTGATCTTGCTCACATGCATTGTAGGAAAACTCAAAAAAGGTCACCCAACATATAATTGCTCCAAGTAAATCACGCTAAACCTTGGAGTTTCTATAATTGAGTCACCGAAACGAAACGTGCACCTTATTAGTATAGGTAACGACCTTCAATTCTTTAAGCATGTCGTATCGATTTATTCATAAATTCTTCCATTTTTCAGGGTGTCATATATTATATATATATACATACATATACATACGATACGATGAGTCAACACACGATACCATGGGTCAACAGAAACATGTGAAGGAGATGTAAAGTAAAGCCCCAAAAACAAGAATCAGTTGCCACAGCAGATTGAATGGAAAGAAGTTGAAGTCAACTTTAAACATGAAACATTTGAATGGAAAAAAAAAAGGAAACTTTAGAAAATGAAGTGAAAAATCCACTTTTTCCTTTCAAACTCTCTCAAATTTTTGACGTTTGTTTACGGCCAATATTAACTGATGTGTTGGGATCTGTGTGTCGATAAATATAATTTTTTAAAATAATTAAAAAAATAACCCGACAACTTAATCCAATCTAAAAATAAGGAGTTGGGTTGTGAACGCTGTTTGGGTTGATCAGGTTACCAATCCAACTAACCCAAAATTTCGAGTTGTTCAAAAGATTTCTACATTCCAACCCAACCTAATCCGTGTACAAAGCTATTATTATAGTATTCTAATATCAAAACTAAAAAAGAAAAAAAATCTATAAAAAATAATAAAATATTATTTTATTGATTAGTTTGAAGTTTTTTTAGTTGAAAATTGAATAAATAATTATAAAGAAAAGGATAATAAAGAATAATTGTTTTTTTAAGAATAGGAATAGAAATTAACTTTAAGGTTTAAATAAAAAATGTATAAACTAATAATAAAAGCACAATTGACTTATTGACATCCTAAGAAAAAGGTTTATTCTCTTAAAAAAAAAAAAAAAAAATAATAATTATTTGATGCAAACTTTATAATATAATATTAATCAGCATAATTAACTAAACAAATTAATGATTATAAAATTATTAAATGGGTCTATCCATATAACAACTCCACTAATCACATCTAAAATATGCATTTGATTAGCTAAACTCCAAGGTTCGGTCGGTTTTAATTATAAATTTAAATAAATGTCGTAATTTTTACCTTCCAATTTATTTAACCATTTAAAAATTTATCCGTAAAAACATTTTCACGTAGAATCTCAATTTTTATATTGAAATAATCCATTTTATTCAACCAAACTACCAATAAAAAGAAATAATACCGAAATAGTTGAAGAGAAATCAAAATTGGCTTTCAAATTTAGCCTTTTATGTGAAAGTTTGGAAAGTTGAGGACTAATGGTAAGGTTTTCAAATTTGTAAGCTTTATAAGTCGGATGATTAAAAATGCTCGAAAATGAAAGTTGTTATTTATACCACAAAAACGTACATTTTCTTTTTAATGATGCAGTCATAGAAATTCTATGGTTAAATGTGCTTTATTTGGAGCAATTCTATGTTGGGCGAGCTTATATAATATTATTTTGGATGCATATGGGTAAGGACAAAACATGCTATAAGGGTTGATTCGATCTTCACTCTTAAGAAGCTAGGAGTATTAACGTGACTATTTCATAGAGGAATGTCGGGACCATTGGGTGTCAAATCATCGGAATCGTGAGCACGAGTCTACAATTTAATCTATTATTAGTTTTTTTTTTTTAAATTATATTATCTTATAAAATGATAATTTAATTATCTAGGAATTGTTAAAAATCTATTATTGGTTTGAAATCAAAATCAAAATTAGAAATTGATTAATGTTATTTATTAAAGATGGTAAAGAATCAAAATAGGAATTAGATATTCTTTTTCCTAATTAAAATACATTACCTAATAATATAGCAAAATAATTTTTAATTAAATACTATAACAATCAACAATAAATTTAAACTTATTTTGTTTTAAACAATTTACTTAATATTAAAAATGACAACCATTACACGTTTTAAAGTGATTTTAAAATAATTTAAATTATTATCTCAAAATTAAACAAAAAAAAAACTGGTAAATTGACGGTGGGTCCTACTAATGGAACTAAAACGGAGATAATATGTAATTAATGGGAAGATTAATGGTAAAATTAGGGTGTAATGTGCAGAACAAATTCTGGTCTGGAGTTCACATTTGGCGGCTGAGGCTGTGGCTGTGGCCCAATGTTCCAGCTTCTTTCCATACGTGAGACCGACATGCCCTACAAAGAATCGATACTCGTCCTTCTCCTATTCGCCTTCTTCCCTCTGCAACTAGGTGGAGAAGAAACTCTCAAGCCCTCCGTTTTTACCCAACCTTCTCCACTCAAATCTTTACCCATTAACCCTCAATCCCAGTTCATTTCTAGTTTTCAATTTGTTCATCCTGTTCTTGATTACCCACGTCGTAATTTCTCCGCCATTGTGTAATTTGATCCTCTTTTGTAGCTTTTATTTATGGTGAAGGGTTTTTCTGAACAAGATTTGAAGAGGGCTGTTTAGAGTTTTTTGGGATGTGATTGGTTTATGGGATGATTTGTAATGGCTCGGGACGGGCATGTGGTGCCGGTGGATCCACAGACGGCGTTGACTGTTAAGAAGAAGAAACAGTCTTCTCGGAGTTGGATTCTGCTGGATTGTTCGGGCCAAGGGACCGTCCTCGATGTCGACAAGTATGCGATTATGCATCGAGTTCAAATTCATGCTCGAGATCTTCGGATTCTTGACCCTTTGCTTTCTTATCCCTCTAAGATTTTGGGGCGTGAGAGGGCCATCGTTCTTAATCTGGAGGTGAATTCATTGTAGTTTTGTTCAGTCCTTTTCAATTCTTTTTGTGAATTGTTCTTAATCTAGCCTTTTTTATTTTTGTTTGTATGTGGGTATTGCAGCATATAAAGGCGATCATTACTGCTGAAGAGGTCGGCTTGTTCTTTTGTTTCTTTTGTTACTACTCTATCAAGTTGGTACTGTTTTAATACTTGAATGGGGATATTTTCATGTATATGCATAGACGAAAAAACAGGACACAAATTGCAGGAAAACTTTGATATAAGATAAACCAAGGGAGGACTTGTTTCTTCTTCTGGTTAATCAATATTAGTCAAACTGAAACTGAAATGTTTATTCTCGAGTTCATTCTTGACTGCCAGTTTTGATTATTAATTGAGGGTGCAACAGTTGTATGTCTGTTTAAGTTGACTAGCCTGTTGATCCCTGCTAATCTGTATCGGAGACGGGCATTTCATTAAGTTGACTTGCAGCAATTGCATCATCAATTAGTATTGAATTAGTGGTAGAAGTTGGTTGATTAGGTGGGCTTTTGTAGACTTGAATTGTGAGATCCCACGTCGGTTGGAGAGGAGAATGAAACATTCTTTATAAGAGTGTGGAAACCTCTTCTTAGTAGATGCGTTTTAAAAACCTTGAGAGGAAGCCCGAAAGCTAAAGCCCAAAGAGGACAATATCTGCTAGCGCTAGGCTTGGGCTGTCACAAATGGTATCAGAGCCAGACACCGTGCGATGTGCTTGTGAGGAGGCTGAGCCCCGAAAGGGGATGTACATGAGGCGGTGTGCCAGCAAGGACGCTGGGCTTCGAAGGAGGTGGATTAAGGGTCCCTTGGAGGAGGGAACGAATGCCAGCGAGGATGCTGGACCCCAAAAGGAGTGGATTGTGAGATCCCACATCGGTTGGAGAGGAGAATGAAGCATTCTTTATAAGAGTGTAGAAATCTCTTCTTAGTAGACGCGTTTTAAAAACCTTGAGAGGAAGCCCGAAAGGGAAAGCCCAAAGAGGGCAATATCTACTATCGTTGGGCTTAGGTTGTTACTAGGGTGAGATAAATGGTACGTAAGGAAAGAAGAGACGTGGAGTACGAATTTGAGACTAATTGCTCGGATAAAACTAAAACCGAAATGGATAGGTTATGGTAAATTTTCTTTTATTTCTCAACCCTTTTCATACTGATTTTGTTTATGTTTCTTGTTAATTCTCTAAGCCCAACAAGTGCAATCAATATCGTTCCCTCTTCATACAAATCTTATTGATTTCGTTTCGTCGTTGGTTTTCTTGTTAATTCGTGTTATCTATAGGTTTTGCTTAGAGATCCAACAGATGAACATGTCATCCCTGTGGTCGAAGAGCTTCAGAGACGACTGCCTCCTTCTAATGTCTTCCAAGAGTATCAGGGTGGGCTACATGATGGTGAAGCTGAAGAAGATGGTAACCAGTTTTCCTCAGCCATCTCATAGTGCTCTTAACATATTCAAAGTCCTTTTTCATAACAAAAGCAATCAAATTTGTCCATATGGTTTGTTTTTACTTCGTCAATATATGAATGATGTTGAGAATGTGCATTCCAGAATCCCCATTTGAATTCCGTGCCCTCGAGGTAGCTTTGGAAGCTATATGTAGTTTTCTTGCCGCTCGGACAACTGAACTGGAGACTGCTGCTTATCCAGCACTGGATGAGCTTACTACCAAGGTACTAAATGATTGTTCCAGGAGATAATATTGTTAAGTTCTTGTGGTGCCTTGAGAACATGAAATGCCCCCTATTTATAAGACCATAGATACCAATAAACTTAGCTCACATTCCGACAATTTCACTAGCTATTAACTAATATGTCCCTCAGTAACCTTCTAGTTTCTACCATAATCCTTACACTAAGAAACTATGTTTCTATATGTTGTCTTTGCCGTATGACCACATGCTCTGCTTGTCCTTTTTGCTTTGTTTTTCCTGGGAATTTGCAGATTAGTAGCCGCAATTTGGACAGAGTTCGTAAATTGAAGAGTGCAATGACTAGGTTGACCGCAAGGGTTCAAAAGGTACGTGTAGAAACATTTGATTGGGACCCTCTTTCTTTAATAGAGTTCTCTTTCGTGGGCTTAGTTTTTTCTTTTTTTTTTTTGTATATTTGTGTATTCTTTCATTTTTTTCTCAATGAATGTTCGGTTCTTTACATGAAAAAATATGTATGCTGCTATTTGGAGAAAGCAGATTGCTGCATTAGAAAGTGCAGTAGAAAATAAGATTTGTAGTAGAAAAAACTCATATACATCTCATTTCCTAGGAATAATTTGAACCGGTAAGATAAGATTAGTTTATCCCCAACGGTATTAGAGCCAGACACTGGATGGTGTGCCAGCGATGACGCTAAGCCCCGAAGGAGGGTGGACATCGGGAGGTTGTGCCAGCAAGGACGCTGAGCCCTGAAGGGGGTGGACACCGGGTGTGTGCCAGCAAGGACGCTGAGCCTCAAAAGGGGGTGGACACGGGACGGTGTGCCAGCGAAGACTCTGAACCTCGAAGGAGTGTGGATTGTGAGATCTCGCATCAATTGGAGAGAGGAACGAGTGCCAGTGAGGAAGCTGGACCCCGAAGGGGGTGGATTGTGTGATCCCAGATCGATTGGAGAGGGGAATGACATCAATGGGAGATGGGAACGAGTGACAGCAAGGATGTTGGGCTTCGAAGGGGGGTGGATTGTGAGATCCCACATCAGTTGGGGAGGAGAATGAAACATTTTTTATAAGGGTGTAGAAACCTCTTCTTAATATATGCGTTTTAAAAATCTTGAGGAAAAGCCCGAAAGGTAAAGTCCAAAGAAGACAATATCTGCTAGCGGTGGGTTTGGAGTTTCTTTGCATGTTCCAAAGTTCTCTGCTACACGGTTCTAAATTGATAATAATGCATAACGAGATCAGCAGTTATTGTTTGCGTAGCTATAATTTTTGACTAGTGGCTCCGGGCTTTCCTTTCAATCAGGTGAGAGATGAGCTTGAACAATTACTAGACGATGACGATGATATGGCAGACCTTTACTTGTCAAGAAAGACGAGTTCATCTTCTCCTGTAAGTGGTTCTGGTCCTGCCAATTGGTTTCCTGCATCTCCTACCATTGGTTCAAAGATCTCAAGAGCAAGCAGAGCAAGTATAGCAACTGCACGAGGGGACGAAGATGACATCGAGGAGCTTGAAATGTTACTGGAGGTAATAGTTCATATAGTTTCTGGGTACTCTATTTTCTTAAAGGTCTCTAATGGAGGTTACCTGTTGCAGGCCTACTTTATGCAGATTGATGGTACATTGAACAAATTAACTACAGTAAGTTCACCTTTTTCCCTGCTCATCTAATTTACGTTTAAACTGAGATTGCTTCCTACGAACCATAATCCAAAGGACTGTTCTATCCGTAAGACTTGTAGTTTGTTTTCAGAAATGAAACACTTTGTGATCGATAAATTTCGTTTGGAGTTTTGATACGTGAGATCTCACATCGATTGGAGAGGAAAATGAAACATTCCTTATAAGGGTGTGGAGACCTCTCATTAGCAGGCACGTTTTAAAACTGTGAGGCTGACGACAATACATAACGGACCAAAGCGAACAATATCTACTAGTGGTGGGTTTGGGCTATTACAAATGTTATCAGAGCCAGTCATCGGGCAGTGTGTCAGTGAGGACACTGGGCCCCAAGGGAGGTGGATTATGAGATCCACATCGGTTGGAGAGGGAAACCAAATATTCCTTATAAGAGTGTGGGAAACTCTCTTTAATAGACGTGTTTTAAAACCATTAGGCGGACGGCTATACGTAACGGGCCAAAGATGATTTTCCTTAATCCGAATGATTTGTTTATGTTTGTGGTAATGTATGATTTTGGTTGTTTAAAATGATTTGCAGCTGCGAGAATATATTGACGACACAGAAGATTATATCAATATCCAGGTAAGAAATGAAAGATTTTGCTATACTGATGCATGATATGTAGCCTTTTTTCTTTTTCTTTCTTTTCTGACTTGAAGTTTCACCATTTTCGCAGCTCGATAATCATCGAAATCAACTCATCCAGGTTCTATATCATTCCATATATGGATGAGATTTCTTGACTTCCCATAATCTCGTTTATTAAAATTTCTTCAATTTTGCAGTTGGAGCTGTTTTTAAGTTCTGGAACGGTTTGTATGTCTATCTATTCATTGGTGAGTGCCATATTTGGAATGAATATTCCATATACTTGGAATGACGACCATGGATACATGTTTAAATGGGTATGTTGAAGAACTTGACTGTGATTTGACTTGAAATGCTGGAACTCGAGACTCCGAACAATAACGTATAACCATCATCTGGTCTTCGTTATGCGCAGGTTGTCATTGTTTCTGGAGTAGCTTGCGCTTTGCTGTTCGTAGTGATTGTTTACTATGCTCGCCTCAAAGGTTTGGTGGGGTCTTGATCTTCTTGCATTGAACATCCGACCCTTTACAGATGGATGTCGATAGTCGAACCGTTGCAATAAGTGAAAAAACGATAGAAATAAGAAAAGTCCATTGCAGATAGTTTAGAGTGAATTACATACCTGACTATAATTGCAGTTTGTGGATTATAGGAATTGGAGAAAGAAAAGGAAAAGAAAATAAATATGGATGAAACAAGCTTATGAAATCAAAGATCAGCAGGTAGTTCATAGCTTATTTGTTGGATTTAATTCACGTTTAGATCTTTTAAATAGAACTAAAGATATTGTTTTCTTTGAATTTTTCTCAAGGTTTAAAATCTCCGTTGAAAACTCAGAGGTCTGAAAATATGATGACTAAGAAATGCTTAAAAGAAACGAAAGTCACTATCTATACCAATAAAATGTACTTTTTGTCTCGATGACTCAATCATATTGTTTAATGCTTTCATCTATTTTTAAAGAATCTATTTGATTCGAATTGTTGGGCGTAGTGATTTAGAAGATTCACTTTCTCCTGAATGAACTAAAGGATGAACTAAAGGATGAACTAAAGGATGAAATGATTCTTCAATCTCTTTTCTAGCTGTCAGATTTGTTTTATGCACACACAATTCCCCACTCCCCATAACTATTCCCTTACCATGATAAGCTAAATCAGAAGTATTTCATATATGGATCGAAAACAAGTGAGAAGAGAGTTGTAAGTTACTACCGTTCTTCTTTTTCGGTAGCTCAATAAAAAAAAACTCTAAAATTAAGCATATTTTGGATGGAGCAACCCTAAAGTGACTTCGCGAAAATTTTGAGTGAGTACACAACGTTATGAAATGACCCGTGGTTGTCTGTGAAGATAATACTCACTCCTAGAAACGAAAAGTAAGTAACGTAACTATGTAACAGAAGATGCAGGAAAATGTCGAGACCTTACATTAAAAAAATTGTAGAGATAAATTTTCACTTACCCTTTGGCGATAGTGACGTTATATCGAAGCTAGAAAAACCCGAAAACTTTGGTTTCAAATTTTGAACATTAGAAAGTGTTTGGCCCATGTCATAAACAAACAAAAAAGTGGTAAAAGACAATAAGACGACAAAGAAGCAAGGTAGACAAACTCAAACCATGTGATTAGCTAAAGCTCAAATCTTAGCAGTAACATTCTTTTCTTTAGACAACAACATTAATTTCCTTCATACTCTTTGCTCTGTTTTTCTCTCTCTTCTTCACGATTTTTGTGTATAAATATAGCCCAATAACTCAATTCACAACACAAGCAATCTATTCATTCATTGATTCAACCTTCTTTCCTCCATTTATTTTCTCCTCTCTCTACTCCCAAACCATGGCCTCTACTGTCCCCAAGACACCCACCGCTGCACCTGCATTGCTGCATTCTGCCCACAAGGAGGAGACAGGCACGAGGCATTACTCCGACGAACTTGTCACCGGACACATTTACGCCAAACATCGCGACGACGACACAACCAAGATTGATCTCCCTAGTTACATCTCAGTTATTGAAAATATTCTCACCACTTCTCATCGAATTACCGATAATATCCATCGGGTAAAGATATAATATTTATGCACCCTTTGTGTCGCTTTTGTTCAACTTAATGAATGTATGAGTAACCATTATCGTATTCATGCAGGGAACTGAAGGACGTCTAGTATATTCAGACGATACTTTGGGATCAAACGTTGTGATTGATCCTCCGCTCTGTACTCTTCATCGTATCAATAGCGAGGTCATACTCCTTAAACTTTAATTATTACGACCCTTTTGATCATAATCTAGTCTCTAGCTTTAATTTTTTCTATTGATAATAATATGGGCTCAGACGATATTTAGAGATGTACACAGAGTGGAGCGTGAACAGGGAAAATTTCTCTATTTATTTGAAAGTGAGACAATCCATGTCGGAGAAAATTTTCTTGTCTCTCCCTCACTTCTCATTTTAACGGGAATTTTCTACTCTGTTGCAGTAGATTCTCGTAGGTTAAATGGACATCTCTACTTCTATTTCAATTTAGGATTCAATAAGATTTACTTTGATTCATTGTAACATGCAATTGAAAGTTAAAATATTACGTCCTCAGTTGTCATGCAAGGCTCCGGGGATAACAAAAGCACACGAGACGACACTAGAAATCTTTGACATATTGACAAATTATCCATGGGAAGCCAAGGCAGCTCTCACTTTGTTAGCCTTCACATCAGATTATGGAGACTTATGGCATCTCTACCATTACTCCATGACTGACCCATTGGCTAAATCATTGGCAATTATCAAGCGAGTTGCTTCATTAAAGAAGCACTTAGACTCATTCCCATACCAACAAGTGCTTCTCAACCCCAGCAGCCTCATCCGTAGTTGCTTGCAAGCCATCAAACACATGAATCAAATTAGAGAATTCTCCAAGTATGATGTCAAGGAGCTTCCTGAATTACCATCCGCTCTTCGTCAAATCCCATTAATCACTTATTGGGTTATCCACACTATTGTTGCTTCTAAAATACACCTCTCCAGCTACCTTAGTGAAACCGAGTAAGTACGCTATTCATACCCGCAACAAATTATTCAACGAAGTCGTCACAATTAAAGTGAAACCCTAGTACTGGAACAACGATCTATAAGTTGTTATTTACGATTCATTACAAATGTTATTTTTTTCAGGAATCAGCCACAAAGATATTTGAATGATTTGTCCGATAAGATCGCCAATGTACTCAACGAGCTCGAAAAGCATCTCAACGCCATACGAGAACAACATGGTCGAATACTTACTTCCATATTATCAATTGTTAATCGTAACGCTATGATTGGAAAAATAACATTATATTTGTTGTGTTTGATGCAGCCGAGGTTGATCTCTTCCGGTGGTTGGTTGATCACATTGAGCATTATCATACCGATATTACGTTAGTTGTTTCCAAGCTCCTTAGTGGCAAAACTGAAACCAATCCACTTATTGATGGCTCTACGCTAAGAGAGGTCTCATCTTTATCATAAATACTATTATAATCTTTTGGAATGTATTTTATTGTATTTTATTAAGAGGATAGTAAGTCCCACGTCGATTAATTTAGGGAATGATCATGAGTTTATAATCAAAGAATACTAGCAAAGCCATGAAAGCTTATGTTCAAAGTGGACAATATCATACAATTATGGAGAATCGTGTTCATCTAACATTAATATATGTTTGCAGGTTAGCGTTCAAGAAAGTTTATCGGGAAAGAATGTGATCCTGGTAATTTCTGGATTGAATATCTCGAATGATGATATCGAGGCTCTTCATCATGTTTACGAAAGATTGAAAACGGATCACAAGACATATGAGATCGTTTGGATTCCGATTATCCCTGTGCCTTATCATGCCGAAGATCTCAAGAGATACGAGTACTTGCGTTCTATAATGAAATGGCATTCAATACCATTTACTACAAAAATAGCTGGCATGAGATATATGGAGGAGAGGTGGCAACTTAGGGAGGATCCTTTAGTTGTCGTACTCACCTCACAATCTAAAGTAGTATTTACAAATGCAATTCATTTGATTCGAGTTTGGGGTAATGAAGCAATTGATTTTACGCATGATAGAAGCAAGAGTTTGCTAAGAAGAAATTGGCCCGATTCGACGCTCGTCAAATTCACCCACCAACCAAGACTACAAAATTGGGTATGCATCCACTTTGATATCATTTATTTCATTCTATCTACTATATATATATCTTTTGTGTTGATATATACTCTTTTCGAACAGATCAAACAAGAAAAAAGTATCCTATTCTATGGAGGAAAAAACCCGGCATGGATCCAACAATTTGAAGAGAGAGTAGAAATTTTGAAAAATGATCCTTTTATAATTGAGGGTAGTTCGTTTGAGATCGTACGGATAGGAAAGGATGTGAAAGGAGAGGATGATCCTACACTTATGAGTCGTTTTTGGAATACACAATGGGGTTATTTTGTAGTGAAGAGTCAGTTAATAGGTTCAAGTGCGAGTGAGACAACTGAAGACATCTTAAGATTGATTTCTTACCAAAATGAGGATGGTTGGGTTGTTTTGACTGTCGGCTCGGCACCTGTGCTAGTTGGTCGTGGGGTTTTGATTTTGAGATTGTTAGAGGAGTTCCCTAAATGGAAGCAAAGTTTGCGCTTGAAAGCATTTCCGGATGCTTTTAGAGAATACTTTAATGAATTGGCTCTCAAGAGTCACCAATGTGATCGTGTAATTCTGCCGGGATTCAGTGGATGGATTCCTATGACTATCAATTGTCCTGAATGCCCTCGCTTCATGGAGACTGGTATTAGCTTCAAGTGTTGCCATGGAGGTATTCATATGTGATCCACACTTGCATCCATGGTGGAAAGCATACTCATACTTTTATTATGTTATACTACTACTAAAATGAATAATGCAAAGTTCTATGCAATTTTATTTTAAACTCGAGTCCATTAGGTCTCAATGTTGTCATTGAACAACTTATGCATGCTTTATATTACGTGAGATTAAATGATTATCAAATCTTCTCTATATTTTTTTTTATTGTCCGTCATTTATGTTCATATAACAATATTATGGTTATATATCAAATTCCATTTTTTCTATAAAACTATCAAGAAGTTAATAAAATATATCTATATAATAAAATCATAGTTACGACGACATCGTCAAAGAATTGAGTTAATTTTTAGTGGCGAACTAATTTAATTTTAAAGAAAGTGGTGAACTAATCTAATGCCTACTGTTTTCAATTGAAAACAATCTAATTTAAACAACCCAATTTAATTTAAATAAGTTGGTAACACAATCTAAGCCATATCAGTTAACGGTTATGGATAGATCAAATTTTTGGGATACTGGTACTTTTTGAACATTCCAATCTATGGCTTATGATTTTCAATTGATGAATTGAGTTATTTTTAGTATCATGGGTGACTTAACTCTAATTAACTCTTTTTGGGAGCTTGTAGACATTGGGCCACATGTCATAGAGTGACGGCTAATAAGCTAAGTTAGTATACTAAGTCGGAGAGAGTGAAGCTGTGAGACCGAGTTTACCGTTCAAGAATAAATAGGAAAAAGAGCCGTACAAACAACTCGAAGACAACCCGAAACAAAGAAGGCACAATGTTGAGCAAAATATTGGATGGAAAAAAGGGAGGTAGTAGCGTAAAGGATTGGTGGGGTATGAACAAGGGAGCCTTTTGTGAGTATTGAATC